CTAAAGCTTCCAACCGCTCCTTGTTTTCTTCTCTTTTTTTTTTTTTATTCTGGGCCAGCTTTAGCTCTGAGGCCTCGCTGCTGAAAACATCGATACAATGTTTCGGTCCAAGCCCGGCTGAATGGAAGCTGGTTTCTGGGGTTTTGTTTAGCTTCTTATTTGCAACATAGTATATAGTTGCTTAGACTTGCAGCTGAGAGGCTGGCAAGTGAGGCAGCGAACGTTGGAGTCTGCAGCAAGCAAGCCTCCCTGCTCGCTTCAGTGCCTGGCTGCCGGCCCCCATCTTGGCTGACAGTTAATTTGCATATACTCACTGATTAGCCAATGAAAAGGGTAGCGGTCGTACGCTAATTACCATGTTTCTCTTTTATTAGTGTAGATGACCAATAGGATTCAATACTTGATAATGACTGAATGAATAATATGCAGCATAAGAAAATTAAGAGTTACAGTGGCCATGTATTCCTCATGCAGCTCATGTTATTGGGCATCATTTCCTACACTGTTTTGTGTTTCAGGTATCGAACCTTCATTTTCATTTTGACATTTTTGCTGTATGCGAGTTTCCACTTATCTCGAAAACCTATCAGCATTGTTAAGGTAAGAAATCATAAAACACTTCATTTCTTATCCTGCCTGTAATCTCTGTAAGGAACTAGTCACTTTAAGAGACAACTGACAAGGGGGGCGGGGGGGCAGGGAAGGTAAATGGGGAAAATGAATTACGTAGAAGCAAGTTATTTTGCAGCTTTGCTTTTTAAGTTTCTCTTTTCTGAATTTAAAATGTTTTAGGATTTATACTTTCGAAGGTAGTATACTCTCAGTAATATTAGTTGACAGTTTCAGAATCCTAAAGTATAGTTCAATATTTATTCTTGTGTGAATTTTCTCTCCAAAACATCCAATCCTAAATTGTTCCCAAATCGCTTCTATGATCATCATGCTTTGACCCTGAGTTGGGCTGTGGTGGTGGCTCTTCGTTATTCTTAGAACGCCGAGTTCCTGCTTGCGTGATGGGCGGGCAGGAAGCTGTTAAACCGGCATTTAACTACACTTTGAGTAAAGAAGATTCGAGTAGATAATAGCCTACATAATAGCCAGTTAAACTTGACTTTGAGTAAAGAAGATTTTATAGCCTACATACTAGCCAGTCATAACCTGGGGAAAAGCAAGATAATTTTCTGACCCTGTTGGAATTCCATCATTTTGCCTATAGATTGTCAACAGGCTTGGGTGGCGTTTGACTCTTTATTGTAGGAGGAACAAGGAAATTGTCCTTTGCCAAAGACAGCTCGTTACAGCTCGATTGTCCCTCCCTCACTTTCTCATCGTTGGCAGGACACTGACCCAGGACTGTAATTCTTTTGCCCTCTGCAGCCTTTCCTCCACTCCCTGTCAGTGGTCTGCTGAGGAAAGCTATTTGGCAGATAGCTACTTAGAATTTGTAAAGCAGAATCCTTGGCTAGATTTTTAGGGCAGTGTCCTGGTGATGATGACACAGCCACATGAGCACAGAGCGAATGAGTCCCATGCACCATGCTCACCCAGAAAATCATCACCTGGTCGAGCTCTGGCCCTTTGCCAATTCCCAGAAGGCTCCTTGTGCCCGGCCATGGTAATCAAGGTCACCATGGAGTCATTTTCCTGTCCTTGAACATCATAAATGAAAATAGAGTCCTACCCTTGGAGCTCCTTTGTGTCAGGCTTATTGTTTGTGGGGGGTATCCTATTCATTGCATACTATTCTCTTGTATCGCCGCAGTGTTTAGCCCAGCCATATAGATCTAGCGAGATGAACCCATTGGTCCATTCTGGGCAGGTGGCCCGAGGATGATGGGCAGTGGTCCAAGGATGACGGGGCAGGTGGTCTGAGGATGACAGGCAGTCAGCGTTCAGCTGCACAGCTGCTCTGAGCAGTCCTCTTTGGTGCCCTGGACATGTTGTGTTTGCTCTGTGTACTCAGGAGCAGGTCTGCAGGAGAGCCCGGGAAACCGTACCCGCCCGCATTCTGTGGTCCCCAGGCAGACTGCCCACGGTGACATCCTCCCCTAGAGCCAGGACCCCTAGGAAGGCTGGAAAGAGGGGGCGCTGTTCTGACCCTGCACCCCTGCTGAGTGCCCTTTCTCTCTGGCCTCTGTCTCCCGTGGATGTCCCAGGGTGAGCTCCACAAGTTCTGCGCTGCCCAGAATGGGGCTGAAGTCAGAATCAACAGCCAGAGCCAGAAAGCCAGCGCCCTCCCCTCTCCCCAGCTCCTGGACAATGAGACAGACTGCGGCTGGGCCCCGTTTGGTGAGTTCTCTGTTCCTGCAGCTCTGAAGTGGGCTGTCCCCACAGAGAGGGTTCTTCCACGGCGGGCGCTGGGATACGCTGGCGTGGCCCACTCCTCCGGCTCCTCCAGCCCCTCCAGCCTTGCTAATTCAGCGCAGTGCCCATGTCCTCGAGGGTAACTGTGTCCGGGGAGCTGACCTACCACAGTCCCACTCCCCCAGCCGCTGCCCTGTCACGGGGCCTGTGTGCAGAAGTGTTACCGCCCGAACAAAGATCCCCTTAGTGGGGAAATCTGCTGACCACGGTTTGCATGTTGTACTTGTCAGAGTGGGAAGTTAAGGCGCGCAGAGCACAGACTGCGGGTGGAAGGGAGAGACCACCGAGGCTTGGTGCGGGGCTGGCCCAGGCGGGTGCTGGAGGAAATGAAGAAATCGATGCTCACCCTGAGGCAGGAGGGTCTATCCACACAAACAGTGACTGCCTAGTGGTTGTTTGGAATGCAGTGCCTGTATTTCTGTTTGCCAAGCAGCCCAGCAGCATGCATCCACCACATTCTCCATCCTCCTCAGAGAGCAGAGGTTCTGTGTATTGTTGCCCCTCGGGAACGCGCATTGAGTGACAGCTAAGCACCACTCACCTCCGCCTGTCGCTTTTCACTGTGCAGATCAGAACAACTACCAGCAGCTGCTCGGAGCCCTGGACTACTCCTTCCTGTGCGCGTACGCCATCGGCATGTACCTGAGGTAGGTCCGCCTGAGCTTGCGGGACCCTGGCCCGTTACACCATTCCATGCAGAACCTTCTCAGGTGCGTGCGCCGATGAAGGCAGGATGCGTGACACTAGGCCCCGCCTGCAGGCCCCTTACCTGCCAGTCTCTTCTCAGAGACCAGGAAAGAGTGAGAGCCGGTGTGCACTGCTGGGCAGGGTGGACTCTCCACGATGCCTTCCTGGCCCTTGGGTTTCGGACACGGCAAGCCCTGCCGGGATGTGGTCACTTAGGAGCAGGGCACTGGTGGCTCCTCGTGATGCTCAGCAGAGCGCATCCTCGCCTCTGCCTTCCGGGGCCGCCATCTGTTTACGTGTCCCAAATCACTGAGTCCACGGCTTACCAAGTGTGTGCTGCCCGTGTCCACCTGGACACCCTGCTCAGCACACACAGGCTCCTCACCTGAGCGCAGGGGCTGTGCGGGTGAGGATGCAGAGACACTGCTGGGATCTGAATCCCGGCTCCACCACCTGCTCATGTGGCCGTGGGCAAGTCCCTGTATAGCTTTGCACAACGGAGGAAATAGTCGTTCTCACCCCAGAGGACAGGTGGGGATGAATGCGTTAATAATGCACGCAGGGCGCTCGACACGGTGCCGGCGCGTGGCGCATGCCCAGCGTCTGCCACACGTGATTACTCTCCTGGGTTCTCCTTGCTCCCATTCTTGAATGGACTAGGAAGGCGGTACATGTTAAATGAGTAACAGGACATGTTGGGGGCGGGTTAAATACTGGAATGATGTCAGTCCAGCCGGGTTGTGGGGGAAATGAGCATAATAGAAAGTAAGGCCTTTAGCCCAAGAGGCTTTTGTTTGGAGACTGAGATCTTTAGAGATTCGAGAATCTCGGGGATTCTGTCCACGTTGAGCCTCTTCCCTGAGACCCACCAGATGCGGCGTCACCAGGACCTGGGCCCCGCCCTAGCCCAGTGCCCTGTGGGTGGGTGGTGCCAGCCAGGCAGTTCCCGCTGGTGGAGGGCGGTTTCCTTTCTTGTGTTTGCGAATTTGCACGGTGCTGCAGATACGGGCGCAGCAGACAGGGAAGCTGAAGCGAGTGGCACAGCAGAACAGAAGCACGTGTAAGCCTCCGGCGTCTCAGGCCGGGTGGCACCCAGGCTGCCAGCCTGTCCCATCTTGAGGAATAATGTTTCTTCTAAAGATTGCTCTCACTGAACACCAACAACCTATAGAATAAAAGGCCCACAGCTGGAGTATGTTTCTCTCAGTGACTAGAAAACAGTATTTAAATGTCCTTCTCAGCTGGGAGTGATTTTGTCCCTCAGGAGACATAGAGCAACATCTGGGGACATATTTTTTAAATATGGTTGTCCCGGCTGGAGAAAGGGTGCTCCTGGCTTCCAGTGGGCAGAGACCAGGGTGCTGCTCACATGCCACAGCACACGGCACGGCCCTCACCACGAAGGTCACCTAGCCCCAGGTGGCAGGAGTGCCGAGGTGAAGAAACCTGGTTTAAATGAAGTGCTTCTATCATTGCTTATTTACCAGCAAAGACCCTTTTTCAGGCAGCCGGCCAGTGAGCGTGACCACGAGAATCTGGCCAATGTGGAGTCCACATGGGCTCTCCACTGCAGCAGGGAGGGCACTGCTCCCTGGCACGGCCTTTCAGCACCACCTTGGCACGCGGATGGTGTGGCACGGCAGATACAATTAGACTTGGTGGGGACCTCACGGCCAGCTCCTGCCTGGCAGGTGTCAGCAGGTGTGCATGGCCTAGAGTCGGGTAAACATGGAATGATGTCCATCCATCAGCCTCTCCGGGTGACTTAATAGCAGCTGCAGGCCAAGAGGCTTGCTCATGGTCATGGGTGATTCCTTTTCATGATGTTTGCCTACAGTTTGACAGTTGAAATTTTAACTGGATGTTATTTATATAAAAGCAGGATTAACTAGCCGGACAAGTTTGTTGTTGTTTTTTTAATTGGCTGCCATCATATGTGTAAGCCATGGTGTTTGATGTTTATTATTTGACAGTTAGTGACTGTCAGTAGAAATAAAAAGTCTTAAAAGATGTTTCCAATTACCAGTTTCTGGTTAATAAACGCCCCATTGGGAGGTCATTGTGATTAAATCTTCTTGGAAACAGTAGAGCTTTGGAGTTCTAAAAGCTCCGAGAACAGCCGGAAAGCATCCGGAAGGAGATCGCTGGGTCATTTGCACTATGGGTGTGTTTGTTTTCTCATATTTGTCTTTCTTTTTTTTCTCCTCAGCGGCATAATAGGGGAGCGCCTGCCAATTAGGTATTACCTAACTTTCGGAATGCTGGCCAGTGGTATCTTTACTGCCCTGTTTGGGTTAGGGTATTTCTACAATATCCACAGTTTTGGATTCTACGTGGTAACTCAGGTAAGGTCTGGGTCTATGGCTCACCACGCATGGGGTTTCCATGATGAGCTGGACAGGGTGTTCATGTCGCAGGTCCCTCCCTCCACCAAGAGAGAAGATGGCAGGGGGTGGAATCGGGACGGGGGGCCTGGCAGACCTGTATCCTGTCTGACATCAGGGTCAGGGCTGACATGTAAGGTCTCTCTTCTGTCTTCTCTGAAATTCCAACATCCATGCAGTTTTCCTTAAGTTTCAGGAGTTGCCTCTTTTAAAAAAATATATACTTTTTTATTGATTTCAGAGAGGACTGGAGAGTGAGATAGAGATAGAAACATCAATGATGAAAGAGAATCATTGATCGGCTGCCTCCTGCACGCCTCACACTGGGGATCAAGCCCACAACCCAGGCAGGTGTCCTGACCGGGAATCAAACCATGATTTCCTAGTTCATAGGTCAACACTCAACCATTGAGCCACACAGGCCGGGCAGGAGTTGCCTCTTAGGGAATCCTATCTGTCCACACCCCAGCCGGGAATTAAAGCAGGAGCCCTCTGCCCTCATCTGGATGAGTTTAGATGTTGTGTCTGTGACCAATCAGACCACTCAGGAGTCAGAGGGGTGTGGGGTGCAGCGAGGGCAGGAGGAAGGGAGGACATGGGTGTCATTGGCGATGGGACAGGGTTGGAGGTCGTCAGTGGGAGGAGAGAGCCTAAAGGTGCTCACAGCAGGTGAAGCCGAGACAGGCCCTGTGGCTTTGCCCTTCCAGCTGGGCCCAGCCCTTCCTGAAACACTTGGCTACTGCCCATCCCAATGTTCTTGAGAATAAATATTTACTAGAAATGGAAAATTACTTAAAATAATGAGTTCAATTTCTGAGGCTCTCCAGATAGCCTAGCGGGTGTTATAAAATCATCAAAGCAAATTAGACATAGTTTACCTTTAAAAAGGTTGCCACAGACCTTGAAAAAGTTGGACTGTTTTAATTACAAAAGCAAGTTACACTTTGTAGTAATATTTAAAATTATAAGGAAGGAAAAAAAAATTTCACCAGAGTTCCAGCACATTCCTGGAGGGAAGGCCATGCCTGGCTGGCCCTGAGGCTGGACCGGCGTGCAGCCCCAATGGCTTCTGCAGAGCTGGTTGTCCCAGTGGTCATTGTAAGAGGTGCAAGGCTGGACCTGGTTTCATGTCATCTTGTAAAGTTGCCCCTGACGCTCCTGAGATTAAAGTGAGCTCATTCACTAGTGCACTTGCTAAGTCCCTTCTTTAAAAAAAAAAAATAGCCTGGCTGGCCCTGAGGCTGGACCGGCGTGCAGCCCCAATGGCTTCTGCAGAGCTGGTTGTCCCAGTGGTCATTGTAAGAGGTGCAAGGCTGGACCTGGTTTCATGTCATCTTGTAAAGTTGCCCCTGACGCTCCTGAGATTAAAGTGAGCTCATTCACTAGTGCACTTGCTAAGTCCCTTCTTTAAAAAAAAAAAATAAACTAAGCGACCGTTATGACCAGAATGACCAGTTGCTATGACACACACTGACATCCAGGGGACAGACGCTCAACACAGGAGCTGCCCCCTGGTGGTCAGTACACTCCCACAGCCAACCGCCTTTGGCCAGCAGGCCCCTATCGGTCTGCCACCCGCCCTCTCCCACCGTCGTGGTGGTGCAGCAGCAAGGGAAGGAGGAGGGGGAGAGGCAAGGAACTGCATGGTGGTGGGGCGCTGATGATGGCAGCGTTGGTGTCCGGCGTCCATTCCTTTCACACCCAGCTGACTGTCACCTCCTCTCCTGACCCCACTGGGGCCTTTGGGCCCCGATTAGCCTGGCCCGGATCGGCCCTGATCACCAGCCAGTCCTAGGGACCCCACCTGTGCACAAATTTTGTGCACCGGGCCTCTAGAGAGAGAAACATCATGCCCCCTCCTTGGGATCAAGCCTGCAACCTGGGCATGTGCCCTGCCCAGAATCGAACCGTGACCTCTTGTTTCATAGGTTGACACTCCTCAACCACTAAGCCACACTGGCCAGGCATTAAGTCCCTTCTTGAAATGTAAGCTCAGGGTATTCTTAGAAGGAGGAGAAATACTTTCTACAGGCTTTAGATCAAAGTTAATCTCACTTCAGTGTATCATTAACAACAGTACCTTCTTCACAACATAAGAAGTGAAAGCATGCAATTTGCAAGCCATATTTCTAGATAAAGAAGACAATTTTTTCTCTTCTTATAAAATTTGGATTAGACAGCAATTGAACCCCTTGGCCCCAGGCTGTTAATAGTAGTTCATCTTCTAGCAAGAGATTTCCTTTTCTTTCTTTTCCCCACAGGCATGTATTAGATCTATAATTATAAATATAGATTAAAATCTCTGGCTCTTGGGGCTCACATCAAATAAGGTCTGACCCCCTTCTTTTGTGGGCGCCCCAGCTGTGCTCCCAAACGTGCGGAGAAGGGCAGCGTCCGTGAGCCCCCTTGAAGCAGTGTTCCCCGCGAGCTGAGCCTCCCTTCACTCTCTGTCACAGGTCATCAACGGGCTGGTGCAGACCACCGGCTGGCCCAGCGTCGTCACCTGCCTCAGCAACTGGTTTGGAAAAGGAAGGTGAGACTTTGTAAAGTGTGTGATTGTCTAACCACCTGCTGTACGCCTGGGACTAAAGCAAAATAACATTGAAGGGCAACTGTCACAGAAAAATAAAAGGTTTTAAAAAGGAAGGTGAGAAAAGGCCACCCTGTTTCCAGCAGTATTATTTTGTAAAAGATTTTTTTTAAAAAGACTTTATTTTCAGTTTTTCTTTAGATTTATTGTGTGTGGGCGGGGGGGGGATACTTTAACTAGTCTATGAAATAAAATTATTAAAACTTCTGGGACCAGAGGTTCTGAAATGCAGGTGGCCTTTGTTCCAGGAGATGCCCACCCTGCTGTGGGCGGGGCGGGTCTGTCATTCTGCAAAGCTGACCAGCAGCATGGCCTTTTCTGGCCTCCTGGGGGCCTGGGAGACGTGCAGAGGACACCCTGCTTCAGGCCACATTAAAAATAAGACCCAAGGCACATGGAAGTGTGACAAGTCCTGACCAGTCACCCAGCACCTGGGAGCGGAGGTGCGCTCGGCCTCTGGTGGCCTGACTGCAGTCCAGATGCCACAGTAACGCTGTGTGACCCACGGCTCCGGCCAGGGCTAGGGCTAGGGAGTGTGGGGAGATACTGAAAATGGGGAACGGGAACGGGAAGCCAGCTCCCTGAGCCTCATTCAGCTACTCCATCCATTGGGCCAGTCAGCGGAAACTCGTGTTGATGGGCTAGTTCATCAAATGATTGGACTCAGTCTGCAGAGGCACACATTTAAATTTGGGGTCTTCCAAGAACTTCAGGAAAAGGCCTCATTCCTCTTTTTAATCATCAATAAAGAAGCTCTGAGCGAGATGTGTAAACACACCTAAGTCTCCGAGGTGAGAGGAAGCCCAGTTCTCTGCAAGCATCCCAGCCCTGCGTCCTGCAGAAGTTCCTGCACCGCCTCTAGTCCTCGACCAGCTCTCATGCGTGGCACCAGTGCCGTGTCCCACACAGCGGGCCCACGTGAGCTTCTGGACATCATTTGCTGCCTTGTGTCTTGTGTTGCAGGCGAGGTCTGATTATGGGGGTCTGGAACTCCCACACCTCAGTGGGCAACATCCTGGGGTCCTTGATTGCTGGCTACTGGGTGTCCACGTGCTGGGGCCTGTCCTTCATTGTGCCTGGGGCCATCGTGGCAGCCATGGGGATCGTGTGCTTCCTCTTCCTCATTGAGCGTAAGTACCCGTGGCCTGAGAGAGGACCACCCCGGAGGGCTGCGGCACGCGTTGCTAAGAGAACGGGCTGTTGCTTCGTCCTGTGCAGGTGTGTGGTTGCCCTGGCTCCCTCCACACCAGGTAGACTTCCTTCTTCAGGTGCAGGCTTCCCCGTTAGCTGTTTCTCTGCTGGTCATGCTGGATTTCCTGCTGTTTCCTGGTTTCTGGAGTAACAGGTTGAAATTCCTCCCACCTGTCCCCCTGCCCTGCAGCGTCAGGCATGCGGGGTTTTCCTCGTGTCCGGGAGTCTCGAGACTTCCTCAGGCCTGCCACGTCGCTCACCTCCAGGGGCGCGGTGCCCGGCCCGCACCTGCTCACCCAGACCTTGTGTGCTTTCTGATAAGGTGTATCTTGGACAGTGTTGTAAAACCATGACACAGCTTATGACCATATATCTTACCTGGGTGAAGAGCGTTCCATTCTAGACTCAATTCCAAACTTGTTTTAATTGAATTTCAAATTAATTTTTAAAATAGAGGCCCAGCAGGACAAAGGTTCTTAGGTGTGCCAGCAATGGAGAAGCTGGTGCTGCCGGATGCCAGGGCGCTCAGACTCGCACGCCTTTAACTGGGCCCGAGTGGCACCGAGTTCTGGGAAAGGTCCTCTGTGCCACCTGTCTTCCTCCAGGCTGGGTCCTGCCCCCTGCTCTCCAGGGCGCCTTCACGCATTAGTCACTGAGAGCCAGGCACTTCCTCTTCGCCAGCGCAGGGTCCCCTGGATGCAGTGCCCTGTTCTGCCCGAGGTCTGGAGTCCACAGTGACCTTTATTCTCTTCCTCAACCGATAAGAGGCCGGTGCTGGGGGAAGGAGGAGGGTGGCAGAGGGCGGGAGCTTGCCTGCTGGCCTGGCCTGGGATCTGAGGGCCAGTCCCCACGCAGGTCCATCAGCAGGGCCGGGCCAGCAGGGCAGGATTTCCAAGAATAAGGAAGCGTTGGCTTGGTCTTTTGTAATCAAAGGAATGAGAGCTCCCTCCCACTGAGCCACCACTCCTGTGGCTCCAGCGGGGTGTCGGGTTGGGGAGGGAGGGGCGGTGCTGAGACTCTGAACAGAGGGCTTTCCTGGAACTGTCTTCCCATCATTCCTGTCCCTCTGGTCAGCTTCTTCTGATTCCAGGGGTCCCCCTGCTGGCTTCCCGCTCCGTACTGTGGTGCCCGTAGGGCTCTGTCTCTCTCCTCCTGGGTCCACTCTTGGGGCAGAAATGCCACGAGAGACCGTGCCTGTAAGGCGGTCCTACGAGATCTTACCGGTGTGGGGGGACAGGTGAGCACACCCAGACCGACACTGTGCCTTCTGCCTCCCTGGCTCTCCTGGCCGCAGCCAGCACTGACGGCGGCGGGAGGTGCCGTGGAACCGGGACCTGGCCACCGAGCCCGGCCTCCCTCCTGTCTGCTCTCTCGTTCCTCCGCTTGGTGGTTTTTCTTACCGACAGCCTTAGCCTCCCGCCTTATTAGTAACTGTATTCAAGGTGCCACAAGCTCCTCAGTGAGGCCCCTATCCCTGTTCTTGGTGCCACCAGATCCTTCCCTGCCCCTCCTTCCCGGCTCACCCCACCCCTGGCCTCCTCTCCCGCAGGTTCCATACTTTGGGGGGCAGTGTCCTCAGTGCACTGTGGTCTCCCCCCGGGTTCCACAAGCTCCTCAGTGAGGCCCCTATCCCTGTTCTTCTTGGTGCCACCAAATCCTTCCCTGCCCCTCCTTCCCGGCTCACCCCACCGCTGGCCTCCTCTCCCGCAGGTTCCATACTCTGGGGGGCAGTGTCCTCAGTGCACTGTGGTCTCCCCCCAGAGCCCTGGTCCTCCAGTGCCTGATCTCTCTCAGTACCTCATCTCACTCAGTACCTCATCTCTCTCAGTACCTCATCTCACTCAGTACCTCATCTCACTCAGTACTTCATCTCCCTCAGTACCTCATCTCACTCAGTACCTGATCTCACTTAGTACGTCATCTCAGTACCTCATCTCCCTCAGTACCTCATCTCCCTCAGTACCTCATCTCAGTACCTCATCTCAGTACCTCACTCACTCAGTACCTGATCTCTCTCAGTACCTCATCCCACTCAATATCTCACTCACTCAGTACCTGATCTCCCTCAGTACCTCATCTCAGTACCTCATCTCTCTCAGTACCTTATCTCACTCAGTACCTGATCTCTCTCAGTACCTCATCTCTCTCAGTACCTCACTCACTCAGTACCTGATCTCTCTCAGTACCTCATCTCACTCAGTACCTCACTCACTCAGTACCTGATTTCTCTCAGTACCTCATCTCCCTCAGTACCTCATCTCACTCAGTACCTGATCTCTCTCAGTACCTCATCTCAGTACCTCATCTCTCTCAGTACCTCATCTCTCTCAGTACCTGATCTCAGTACCTGATCCTGCAGTCACTCTGCACCGCTGGCACTTCCTTCGGATGGCTCATCACTGCTGGAGGTTGGCTGTCCTTGTCCCACCGCCCTGGCTACTCCTCTCTCCTCCCCCAGCCTCTGCTAAGGCCGGTCCCCCATCCCTGGTTCATGGCCCACGGGCACCTTCCAGACTTGGTGTTTGTCTGCCTTCCCGCTGCAGGTCTCCCTTTCAGCCTCCTCGGTGTCTCCCACGGGCGCAGCTCTGCCTCTGAGGTCACACCTGCCCCTTGATTTAAAATCTGAGGTTGGCTGTGATTTGTGTTGGAATGAAGACATCTCTCAGACTCTTCCTAATAACGAGTGCGCGCACTCCCTGCAGCTGTTCTTCCCATGTCGTCAATAGGACACTTTCAGGAGGGAGAGGGAGTGGCTACGGCATGCCGCATGCTTCCTGTGTTCCAGACCCGGGCCAGGCCTGTGGCTGCCCAGGGAAAGGGCCTGAGGCTCTGGTGCTAACAGACCTGCCCAAGGTCACTCAGCAATGGGGATGTTGGGTGTGACCAGGTGCCAGCTCACCGTTCAGGCTTTCTTAAACTCTGGCCATGGACCCTTAGGTCCTGGGATGGGTTCAATTAAAAATAATTTTTTTTATTTAGATGATAATCTTTTTTAAATTTTATTTTTTAATTGAGTTTATTGGGGTGACACTGCTTACTAAAATTATATAGGTTTCTTGGTTCATTTCTGTTCCCTCCTCTCCCTACTCCCTAAGTGTGGGGCTGAGCAGCGAAAGCTTCGGGTGCCCCCTCCTTGTGACCTGCTCCTTCTTGCCCAGGGCTAGGCCCCGAGGACAGGGTGCCCACCTGTGGGCCCCTCGTGTCTGCCTGTGAAACGGCTCTAGGACGTGTCCCAGCCAAGGGTCGTGTGTGCTAATGTCCCCCAGGCGAAGGCCCGGGAGAAGCCCTCTTGTAGGCACTGGCCAAGCCTCGGGAGCAGGGAGGCCTCCTGGCTGGCGGGGCACTGGGCGGGGCACAGGGTGGCTGCGGAAAACCCCAGGTGAGCTGCTGACATCACTTTAGTGGCGACCACACATGTCAGGTGGGACCAGCAATGCTGTCCCTGCCAACCCCCGTGGGGTGAGCGTGGAGGAGCCTCCAGTCCCTCAGAAAGTGCTCGGCGAGGCCCGGGTCACCCTCTGTGTCACATGGGAAGGAGCTCAGCTGTGGGAACTTTAAAGCCCATTAGCTCAGTTTGCTTCGAGGCAGTTAAACTGTCTCACCAAGTGATTCAAAGACCAGCTTCTGGGTGTGGGGAGGGAGCAAGCTGTTTAAGGGCAGCTTCCGGACTCTGAAGAGATGAGTTTGCTTCCCCCGTGCCCCACAGCTGTGCTGGCCGCTGGTGCCCAAATGCACCAGAGTCATTTCCAAGGCACAGGATGGAAAGTCGAGCTTCCAGCTTTGTTACTCTTTCACGAGTCCTTCCTCCTGGCATTTAGATAAAAGGCACTTTATTGTATATCAAGATGGATGTTTGGTCCCCAGTAATTTTCATTTCTAATTCATTCCATACGCTCAGCAACTCCTCACCCATGTCCCCTGTAACCTTCTATTCTGAAATGCTTTTCCTGTCCTTACATTTCCTCCCTGAAGTCCTCCTTCCGACAAGCTTCACGTGGCTGTCACTGCGGTGTGCGTGCGCTCTGCGTGTCTGGGGTCACACGTGACCTGTTCTCCGTATTGCGCAGCAGGCTTCATGCTCCTGCCGCTCGCATTTGTTGGGGGCGGAGGGCGGGCAGGGGGTGTGGGTTCTCTGTGGGGTGGCCACCTGCTCCCTCACCCCACCAGGCATGCTGCCTCGGGCATTGTCTTTTTTCTGAAATTGCTGCTAATTGAGTAAAAGTATCAGATGGGTCTTGTTTTGGTTTAGTTTTTGTGTTGGAGGACACGCCTGGCCTCGGGTTCACACATGACTGCATGTTTGGTTTTTCAGATCCGAAGGACATCGCCTGCTCGTCCACCCTGGTGGCGGTAAGGACTCACTCTCTGCTCCTTGTATCCCTGCTACAGTGAAGTGAGGTGTCATTTCTGGCTGTGGATTCAGTCCTTGCTCTAACTAGTTTTTCTTCTCCCAGCATTCGAAAAGCTATGAGAATGGCGTGCACAGGTTTCGGCTGCAGAAGCAAGCCCTACCTGATGAGAAGAAGCTGCTGGTGAGTCATCCCTGAGCCGCTTAGCAGGCGGTCAGAGTCGCTGCCTCAGGGACCCGTCCCAGACATCCAGGGTCCTCACAAAACTGGGTCTCGCGTTTCATTAGTAAATCTCAAATTGTCCTTGTTAGGTTTCTTTGGGTAGCAGGCTAAGCTTACTTTACATTTTTAAAATCAAATTTGACAGTCATTCATTCGTTCCGCAAGTATTTGCAGCATTCCGTGTAGCGGGCACTGCTCCAGGTCAGGCTGTGCCGTGAGCATCAGTGACACGTCTTGCTCCTGTGGAACTCCCATTTTGGGGGGCGGGGGGACGGCACCAGCTAAATGCCAGGAAGACGGAGAGCAGGGAGAGGAGCAAGCTCTCCGGTGTCTCTTCTCATAAGGGCACTAATCCCCTCAAGAGGGCTCCCCTCCTGACCAAAGGCCCACCTCCACATACCATCACATCAGAGATTGGGGTTCAACACATGAATTTGGGAGGAACACAAATATTTGGTCCACCCCATCAGGTCTTAATCGATGTCCAAATGGCTCAATTTCTCTTGGATTGTTTTTTCAAACTATGACCTCCTGGTTCATAGAGCGGTGCTCAACCTCTGGGTCACGCCTGCCGGGCCCTCTCCGACTGATTGAAGACTTGCCTTTGCCCTTGATGCAACACCTCGGGCCCCGTGTTCTGATGCAGCTACTCACCAGTAAAGCTGGCCACGTCTTCTGAATAAATGTCACTCTTCCCTTTCCTGGTCCTTCTGTGAAAGTCTGTTTACTAGCCGTCACCAAACAGACAGTTACCTAGTTAGAGGCTGCACCACAGGCAACCTCAGTGCAGACGCCACCAGGCGGTTGTTGGCCCTTTCAGAGGGGCCTCTGAGCACTAACCGGGCCTTGGTCCTCGCCCTATGTTGCAGGAAGAGCTCACACACTGCAGGTGGCTCTGGCGGGCAGGCAGGGTGTCCCCCAAGTTCAGCAGGAAAACCTGGCGTCCCCTTTCCCGGAGTGACCCGGCTCAGACCCACAGGACCTGAGTGGAGTGTTACTCAGCCCCCATCATGACTGCCTTTCAGGCGGCACTGCCTACTTTGTGTTTGTAAACTCCTTGGAGTTCTGCAGCTCTCAGCCGGGACAGTGCCTTGGGCCTGCTGGGGCCTGCTCCTAGGACCCCTGTAATTGTCCGGGAGCAGCCTGTGCCCAGACTGGCGCAGAGCCCCAGGAGACTCAGGGCTCAGCCAGGGTTGAGAACTGTGACTTAGTCTCTTGACCTGGAGAGCTAGCATAATTCTTGAGAGAAAAGTTTACTTCCAAACTCAAGTGGCAGCTCTTCGTGTTCATGTATTTGTATGGAATTGGCCTTAGGAAGACAGTGTGTTTTCACATTGGGGGCTTGTCATCGTCATGCTGAAGCACCACGTGTGCGGTAAACATGACCATGTTTACCCAAAGGCCAGTCCCCTGTGCCACGTCTGCCAGGAAGCCGCTTCCCGGTCCTCGGGATGGCGTCCTGCTGCCCATGCGAGGTGCTGGGCTGAGCCCACGTTGCGGCCATGGCTGGCGCCTGCCCCCCCATTATCCCAATTGTTGTTTTTCGCTAAGTATCGAGAGACCGATATGGCAGTGCATTGTCATCTTTTTGTTTTTAATAAACTGCATTTGTAATCCAACTGGCATAGACTGTAGTGAGATAAATACTTACAGGCTGTGTGATTTTGTGGAAAGTCTGAAATACAGAGAAACATTTTAAGTCCTTGAACTTCATAGTTCAGTCATGAGCAACAGTTTCAGGCCATCTTGCTCGGACTTGGAACCCCATCCCACCTTGGGGACCGCTGTTCTTTGCTTTAATAGTGCAAACTTGTCCTTTAGCAATGTCCAGAATCAAAATTTATAAAATATCAGAATTGGTTTATGCATTTTAAAATAATATTAATTCTGATCATGTTCATCCATTGTGAGCTCCTTAAAAAATGCAGGCTCATAGAAAGCATTTATTGACATTTTCATAAAAATTGCATGTGATTTCACCACTTGATGATAATCATTGCCAGGTTAGAATTTAGCTTCTCTCTATAATACATTATATAGTTACCTTGTTATATCTATACACTAGAGGCCTGGTGCATGAAATTCATGCACAGGTAGGGTCCCTAGGCCTGGCCAGCAATCAGGGTGGATCAGGGCTCTGGCTGCTGGCTGGGGCCTTCCTTCCAACTGCCAGCCAGGGCCTCCCTTCCCTGGCTGCTGGCTGCTGGCTGCTGGCCAGGGCCTTCCTTCATTCCACGCCACCCCATGGTGGTCAGTGCACATCATAGCAAGCAATCGAACTCCCAGTCTCCCGGTCGAACTCCTGAGGGGACACTTTGCATATTAGCCTTTTATATATAAAAATATTTAAACATATATAAATATTCATAATATATGTATATATTCCTTGAGATCATGATAAAATATAATTTTGAGTATTTTTGAGCATATTTCCATGTCATTAAAATCTATAACTTTTTTTTATAACTGCAAGATATATTATTACTATGGATGGACTTAACCAATTTTCCTCAATGGTGGTTGACATTCATTTTATTGTATAAGTAGTTTTCCATCGTCCAAATTATTTTTCACAAACAGATTCCTAGAATGGCTGGGTCAAAAGGTTTTGCATGTTTAGTTAGTGCTTTCTAAAAACACAGGGAAGCTAATGATTCTAAGCAATGACTGCGGTGAGAATGTTCTCCAAGATGCCCTGAGACTCTCAGGAAGCCCTTAGCCATCAGGAACCCTGGCCTCCCTTCGCCAGAGGCATTGACAACCTCTTCTTTCTCTTTCCGATGGGCCCCCTCCAGGACCCAGAGACGCAGTGCTTGCTGCTGTCGGACGGGAAGCGTGCTGTCCATCAGAACCACGTGATCACCCTCCCAGCCGAGGGCGGGGGCAGCATGGCCGCCATCAGCTTCACCGGGGCCTTGAAAATCCCCGTGAGTACCAGCCTGGGGAGACTCCCAAAGAGGGGCGTCTGTGCATGTGGTGGATGAAACTGGCCTTAGAAAAGGCAACTGTGATCAACAGTGCACAGGTCAGAACCTCAGCAGGGCCAGTTCACAGGCAGCCCAGCCCTGAGCAGGGCCGCAGTGTCTGTCTGCCTCACACTATGTTTTTAAAAGTATTTTTGTTTTTGTTTTTAAATATATTTTATTGATTTTTTTACAGAGAGGAAGGGACAGGGATAGAGAGTTAGAAACATTGATGAGAGAGAAACATCGATCAGCTGCCTCCTGCACACCCCCTAACTGGGGATGTGCCCACAACCAAGGTACATGCCCTTGACCAGAATCGAACCTGGGACCCTTGAGTCCACAGGCTGATGCTCTATCCACTGAGCCAAACCAGTCAGGGCTGTTTTAAAACGTTTTGAAATGAGTTGTCTCTACTTAGAAATTCAGAAATTTCATAGACAAACAGGCCTCTCATCGTCCCTTGAAAAACCTGAGTTCCTGGCCCTGCTGGGCCTCCACGCCCTGTGTTCACTCCTCCCTCCCAGCTGCCTGCTGGCCCCTGAGCACCTGAGGTGGCCCCTGGGAGGCACCGGCCCTGCGTTCTGCTCTGCGGGGTGGGCCCGCTCGACTTCCTCACCCATGAAAGTGCTTTAGGAGCCCGGACCTGGTCTCATTGAGCCGTGCTCTACTAGGAAGGAGGGCGAGGGTGCAGACAGAAAGCTGATGGGCCACAGAACCTGGGCTTGTTCTTTGTTTAAAGATGAGGCGAGCTGTGTGCAGGGAGGCAGCTGGTCCTGGCTCTGGGCAGACAGGCATGCGCACTGCCTGCTGGTGGGCCCTGTATGTGACCAGATGTGAAGGAGATTCAGGGAGAAGGTGTTCAAGACAGGACTGGGGGCCCTGGCTGGTTTGGCTCAGTGGACAGAGCGCCAGCCTGTGGACTGAAGGGTCCCTGATTCAGTTCCAGTCAAGGGCACATGCCTGGTTTGCAGGTTCAATCCCCAGTAGGGGGCGTGCAGGAGGCAGCCAATCAATGATTCTCTTTCATCATTGATGTTTCTATCTCTCCCTCTCCCTTCCTCTCTGAAATCAATAAAAATATTTTTTTTTTTAAAAAAAAAGGGCTGGGGGTGGTGTGCAGTGGTGAGATTTCTTGTTGCTTCAGAGTTTTCTGGTATTAAATTCACGGGCTCCTCAGCAGAGAACCGGGGACTGTCAATGGACATGTAGAAGCCGTTTTCTTCTAACACGGTGACCAGAGAGGCGGTGAGGGCACCACAGGAGCAGAAGCAGCAGGAAAAGGGAGAGCGACCCTACCCCAAGGGCCACGACAGCCAGGCCGTGGGGACCACTCTGGAAACTCCTGAGCTGCCGCCCGTGGGCACTCGTACTCACAGGAGCAGGCATGGCTCTCACACGGCCAAGACCAATTCACTGACGCTCGCCCTCCGTGAGAGGGGCAGAGGGACGCAGCCCCGGAGGCCCCTAGTGTGTGTGTGGGGCTGGAGGGGGAAGGGCGCACCCAGAGCGTAGAATCACGCAGTCACAGCCATAAAGGGACTTGGGGGACCCGCTGTGGAACAGATAAGACTGGCTGGGCCCGGAGCTGCTTTCAGTCAAGGGCGCTGCAGCCCAGCCTGGCCGCCCGCCATTGAGAGAGAGAGAGCTCTGAGCTGGCCTGTAGGAAACACTGGTTTTAAATAGAAAGTTATTTTTAAAATTGTCTTGTTAACACTAGTAACCTTTCTGTTGTACCTTATTGTGTAGCTGCCTCGAATACTTTCTGAAAGTGGGGTACACACTAGTTAAGAAATGCAAGTGGGGTTGTGCAGAGAGCAGGCTGAGAGCCCCGGCCAGGCTCACCCCGGCCCTGCCTCCGAGGAGCTGGGTGTCCCAGCAAGTGTCAGCCACTCGGAGCCCCCACTCCCTCATCCGTCACTCGGCTCAGTGCCTGGTGTCATGCTCACTGCTGTTCAAGGATTGAAGGAGGTCACTTAATTAGAGCTCTGAGCACAACGCCAGCTACATGGTGAGGATGCAGTGAATCACACACACCCTCCCGCTGGGGTACCCCCTGTGCAAGCATCAGCTCCTGAACACGGAGCTCCTGGAGGAGCCCAGGACGTAGAGGAGTCCTCTGGTCACTGCATAGACGGCGTGTGCTTGCCTCGCTGTGGTGGGGCCTGGCTCACAGGCACCCACTCTTTCTAAAGGAGACCTCCAGAGACCACAGACAGGCATTGTCCGTTAGCCATCAAACTCCAACCCTCGTTTCCTCATGAAGATCTGTGTTGCTCTTCTGGGTGTTCCCCAGCACCCACAGTCTGGGTGCAGGCAGGGCGCAGCAGCCCCCATCCCTTAGAGAATGGACACATGTTCTGTGTTCCCCGTCACTGTATAAGGTGCGGTGGTTTTGAGTTTTGGTTTCAGGGGAGAAAGAAATAGCCATGAAATACTCAGTAACCAGATGACTCTCCGCTTCGTCCTGAACTCCTTCAGTAGCTAAATGCTCAGAGCGAAGTGGTGTGAGGGTCACATCAGTTCGTATTGTCACTGACTGAGCTGATGTAAAGACGGGTTTCTTCTTAAAGGGCAGCCGTGAGCTGTAGGAGCCTGCGGGAGTTGTCCAGGACCCGCATCCCAGGCATCCTGTGCAGCCACACTGCCCCTCTCCCCGCCACCGGAGGTGCCAGCCCAGACCAGAGCTGTGGTCTATGGGCGTCGGGGAACTTGGGGCGCGGTAGCCTATTGAAGTGAACGCAGTGAGGGCACCTTTGGCATAAGCCGCTCGCTCTCTTTCAGGGTGTGGTCGAGTTCTCCCTGTGTCTGCTCTTTGCAAAGCTGGTCAGCTACACGTTCCTCTTCTGGCTGCCTCTCTACATCACAAGTGTCGGTGAGTGCCTGCGGCTGGAAGCACAGGCATTAGGTTCTGTGCGGAGGCTGGGATCCGAACTCCCTTCAGCTGCTGGTCCCTTGGACTTGGAAAGCAGAGGCTCATGATGCGTGAGGATGTGAGAGACACACTTTTGAACCCAGCGACATGAGTAGTGGACGCGTATAGACAAAAAGGCAGTTGGGCTGGGCACGTTCTATTGCCATGGTCTTAACCTCGATGGGGTTAAAGGGCTGACATGTCCGTCCCAGCTGTGGCTGATGGTTCCACGGGGTCTCCCTGTCCCAGGGCAGCCTGTGTTTAAATCTAGTTCCATCAGACGCTGGGCCACAGCAGGTGGCGAGCAGGAGCGGAGGCCCTGGGGAGCTGAGATAATAAGTGTTTGATGGTCTGACCTGGAAATTGCTTCCTGGGGACGAGCTCCAATTTGAGGGAAGAGCAGGTAGTTTGTCTTATTTCCCAAGTCCAGCAGGGCTGACGCTGTAGGTGGTGACAGGACATACCAGCTCCGTAGCAGCGTGCACGCCCGTGTGTGACCATGACAGGAAAGGCAAGAGGGGTCCAGACGTTCCTAAGAGAAAAGGTCCTGCATCCAGGGGCTGCAGCCTCGGCTGAAAGGGGATGAGGATGGTCAGGACGGGATGGTCGGGGTGGGATGGTCAGGGAAGGACGGTCAAGTAGGACCCAGAACTTCTGGGTGTCCCCCTGAGAGGTGGGGAGATGGCGGCTCTGCTGAATGGACAGGGAGGAGAAATGTGGAATGTGGGTTTGCAGGGTGCAGACCGCATGTTCCCAGGGTCATGAGGACAAGCGGACGTGGCCTGAGCCCGAGCAGGAGGGCTGACTGTCACAGGAGGGAGGCTGAGGGGACAGTGAGGGGACCGGCATGTCTGCAGGGGCGGGGTCTGTGGGGCACAGGGAAAGCAGTAAAGAGCTCGGGGATCCTTCCCTGTCTAGCGGCCCCACTTCTGTCCTGTGCTGCGTGGAACCCTGGCGACACTGAACCAAAGTGGGAGCCAGTGAGACTCAGCAGGACCAGTGCTCACTGGGGGGCTAGTGTCTGGTTCTCACCTTTCTGTGTGTCCACCGCATGCTGGGCTGCTTGCTTTCCTCCATCGGAGTTAGCTGGCTGCTCCTCGGTGTGCATCATGCTTAGGAAACAAAAGGGTGTGGTGTGAGGACCTTCCTCACAGCGACGCCCTTCGGTCTAACAGATCACCTGGACGCCAAGGAGGCGGGCGAGCTGTCCACCTTGTTTGACGTGGGCGGGATCTTCGGTGAGTCCATCACCCCCAGCTCCGTGCGTACAAACAGTGGCACATGAGCACCCAGGGCCCGGGACCTCTTAGAGCTGGCTTACCCCTGAGAGGACGATGTGCCCCCTGGGTACCACCTGCGTGGGCACATCCCCTCCCGTGTCCTGGCTCTGCCTCTGCACCTGAGCTCTGTCAGAGACGGGTGCCCAGCAGGCGGCAAGCGGGTGGTGTTAGTATCCTGACGGGGGAGGCGGGACAGGGGCTTTCAGGGCCTAAAGCAAACCCGAGGCTCCCTCGTTGTCTCGCTGGGAGGGGCCTCCGGGGCACTCGTGTCTGACCACAAGCACATCGGCCTGTTGGGAGGTCAGGCATCGCTGAGCGGCTTCCTGCTAACGGGGACGTGAACGGGGACTTGGGAGAGGACGTCACTGCCTTCTCGCCCCTGTGACTATATGTATATCCTGCTTCCTCTCCATGGGGCCTCGCCCAGGGAGGCAGCCCTCAGCACCACCCTCTGCCTGGCAGGTGGGATCCTGGCAGGCGTCATCTCGGATCGGCTGGAGAAGAGGGCCTCCACCTGCGGGCTGATGCTGCTGCTCGCGGCCCCGACGGTGAGCTGCCCACCGCTGCCTCCCTCTGTCCTCCACCAGCCAGCACTCTCCCGCCCGGCCCAGGCTCGATCCCTCCATGGCTCAGACCTCCCTCAGCAAACCCCGTGGGAGCCCCGGCCTCCCCCGCCCACTGCACATGGGCCCTCCCTGCTTCCTCCCCCGCTTCCTCCCCCAGGACTCCCACTGATCCTTCAGGATCCCTGGTGCCATCCCCACCTCCCCTCAGCGCTGACCCCGCCCATCATGTTCACAGCGGGTCGCACTGTTTTTGGTATTCAGTGGAGCTGGACCTTGGCAGGGGACTTTCCGCTCTGCAGCTCGGTTCCTTTTCTGCAAAGTGAGGAGACCGCAGCAGCACCTCACATTGTCAGTGTAAGGGCTAAAGGAACACTGTACCGTGACTGTCTTTACAACACGTTACATGTAACATTATTACTCCCCAGCTGGCATCGTCGTTATCTGGTCTGCCACTCGGCTGGGCTGTGACTGTCCCCAGACCCAGCCTACTTTTCTGCCATCTTGGGTGGTGGGCACTGCCCAGCACAGACATTCGAAGAACCTTCACTAAGGAACTGACTGTGTGTGGCCCCCAGGCCTTGGGCCCCCCCTTCCCCAGTGCAGCTGTGGGGTCAGTGGTTAGACTCCAGGAGAACTGTCCCAACCCAGTCCTTCTGGCCAGGAGCTCAGAGAAGGAAGCACCGCAGGGTCCCCCAGCTCAGGGCCCCCAGCTCAGCGAGCACAACCGGGACCCGTGTGTCAGGGACAAGGCCAGCGGCTTCTGTGCTGGGTCCTCCACAGACGCCTGCCTTCAGCCCACCCGGCCAGGGAGCAGGGCCTCCGTTCTGTTAGGGCTGCCCCTGTCTGGTTGGCTCCTGAGAGCCACCTGCCTGGCTTCTCGGAAGCACAGACTCCAGGGCACTCTCTCGGCCACTTGTCGTAACCCACTGTTACCCTGTTTCCGCCCGTTCACAGCTCTACATCTTCTCCACCATCAGCAAAATGGGGCTGGAAGCCACCATCGGTGAGTCCACGGGCCCTGCTTTTCCTTCACACACGTCTGTTGACCCCACAGCTTGGTGAAATGAAATGAAAAATTAACAAAGGAGCATTCAGCTGGTGTAACGAGCACTTGGCGAGGCTGAAATAGTCCCCGTGACCCTCTTTGGGTGGGACGTTGGGAGAGGCCCACAGGACTCCTGCTCCCAGGCACCAGGCCTGCCCATGTGCAGGCTGAGAGCCAGTGTGGGAGCGGGCAGGCCACCTGCCTCGGGCCTTAGGTTCCCAGTGGCCAGGAGCCACTCAGAGGCCAGATGTCACCTGCACCCCAGCAGGTGAGAGCAGGCAGCAGAGCAGGGCAGGCCCCAGCCTTCCTCCCAGCGGGCTCCTGTCACTGCCACTCTCGGGCAGTTGCGTAACCCTGAGGACTGTTTTTAACTCGCACTGCCAACTCATGGCTCTGACACCTAGAAATATTGTTTCCATCCTAACAAGCCAGCAGTGGGAAGGGCAGGGATGAAGGCTGTGTGATCCCACGGAAAGTTACGGGGAGGCAGGTTGCTAATGGGGGGATATCACGGAGGCTGCTGCTACCTGGTCCGAACGCGTCTGCACAGAGGAATGTGAACTAGAGGGCGGTTTAGGAAGTAACTGCGTTTCAGAAACAGGCACCGTGGTACCACGGGGACCAGCATGTGGGTGCAGGGAGGCCTGCCGCTGCAGATAAGGCGGTGGCTGCTGGTGGCCAACAGACCACAGGGCCATTTGCTATCCCGGGGCCGTATGGTCACGTGTGTACTTGGAGCCCCGGGTTCTCGCCCCCTCGGTGTGTCAGCAGCTGCTGTCCATTGAGGTGGAAGAACGAAATTCCGTGTCCGAGCACAGCCTGACTCTTGGGAAAGTGGCTGGACTTGCCAAGCACATCCCGGGGCAACTCTGAAGGAGGTGTTTATGACGATGGCCCTGGCAGCCCCCCGCCCTGGATGTGTGGGCCACCTTCCCAGCATCCCACTGGGGCAGGACCCCTTTGTGATGCCAAGCTTCCTACTTAGGGTTTGGTGAGACTCTCCCAGGGGCCCAGTTCTGCTCCCTAAATCCCCTGTGGTTTCTGGTTTCCACAGCCATGCTGCTGCTCTGCGGGGCCCTGGTCAGCGGGCCATACGCGCTGATCACCACCGCCGTCTCCGCAGACCTGGTGAGTGGGCGCGTCTCAGCGCAGAGCCGGGGGACAGGAGGGCAAGTGCTGGCCGAGGTGGTCACCTCTTCCATCCCTGACAACAGTGGTCTCCATTAGTACCATGCTGTGTTTAAAAAGCACTTAAAAGAATTTTTTTCATTGATGTCAGAGAGGAAGGGAGAAGGAAAGAGAGAGAGAAACATCAATGATGAGAGAGAATCATTGATTGGCTGCCTCCTGCACGACCCCCCCCCCCCACCAGGGATTGAGCCCGCAACCTGGGCATGTGCCCTGACTGGGAATCAAACTGTGACCTCCTGGTTCATAGGTCGACACTCAACCCCTGAGCCATTGTGCCAGGCTAGAAGCACTTTTTTTAAATGACCAGTATCTATCCATTTGAGTTATCTGAGCAAATGAGGGGAGATTGTAGCCCCCATTCTATAGACGAGGAGGCTGAGGTGAGTCCAGTGTTCTGGCTCACCCCTCTGTGCTGGCCTCGCAGGCCGTGGGACTGTACACCCAGAGCCTGCCCTGGGGCCGCGGCAGTGAGGCCCACTCCTCCCGGGTTCGGCCCAGTCTGGGTGACCACCCTGTGCCCGACCCTCCACTGGTGTGGGGCCCCAGCCCTGGGAGGACATGTTCTAGACAGGAAGCCACCGTGGTAAAGAGGCAGTTCCTGTGCAGGACGGTAGATGTCAATGCCACGGTGGCAGGAACCACCCTCGGCCTTGGGACCCCCAGGGACCACTGACCGTCTTCCTGGAGAAGGGCCTGCTGCCCAGGCGACAGGTGACTCCCGATCCCGGAGACCCCAGTCCAACCCGAGGAGGCAGGCCATTCCCACCTACAACGTAGAGGACAGACATGTCACACGGTATCATATGTCGGCACCTGAAGGGAGCGTGGCACTAAAATACAAAATACCTTTTAAAAGTAGTTCCCTGTATAGATAAATGGGGAGAAGATACGTGTGCCAAACTCTGCCCTCCAAGAGGAAGCGAGCCTCCCGCTCCTCGGTGTGGGTTGTCTGCCACCTCCTTCCACAGGGGGCAGGTGGGACAGGAAGGTAATGTGACTCAGGGATTCCTGACAGACCCGACCTCTGCCAGGGGTCAAGGTCAATGGCAACAGTGATAAGCCATGTCAACACGTGTGCCCTTGATATGAAGGCCGAAAACGGCACTTATCCTCTAGTTTTTCTCCCCCAAACCCACTCCCCATCTAATCGTGAGGAAAACATCCGACAGATCCCAGCAGAGGGGCCTCCTACTCCTCACAGCTGTCGGGGTCACCAGGAACAAGGGAAGCCTGGAACCCGTCACAGCCAACACGATGACTCAATGTCATGTGGGCTCCTGGACGGGAACCTGGGACAGAAAGAGATTAAACGTCCGATAAAAAACCAGTGCTACCCAAATAACGTATAGATTTTAGTGAATGCCGTACTGGGTGGTGAATTATAACAGATGTAGCATAACCGTGTAAGGAATGAACACAGGGGAAGTGGGTGCAGGACTTACAGCCACTCGAAACCTTGTCAGTCTTTCCAAGATGGGCTCTAAGGGCAGATGCCCACGCTCAGAACTGCTCTGCAGAGTTCTTGTGTAGGTTGCCCTGTGGAAGGCTGGGCTCCTTTCTCCCCCCGAGGCCCCTGGGACGAGCTTCACACCGATTTCCCTCTCTTCAGGGGACTCACAAGAGTCTGAAAGGAAACTCCCACGCCCTCGCCACCGTGACCGCCATCATCGACGGAACCGGGTCTGTAGGTACGTGGGTATTTTTAGCTCTAAATTTAATTGTCACAGGGGAACCGCACCATCACGTCCTAATTAACAGATGCCACGATTCCAATTGCTTTGGTGATGTTGGGATCAGCCGGCCTTCTTAAAATATGAGCAGAGCAGAAGCGCGTGCAAGCCCAGGGGACCAGGGGGTGGGCACAGTCTGTCCTCTTTGGCCGGATGGTTCCGGAGACGACATGGGCGTGAGGCTGGTTGGACCTCTTCGTCAGTGTGAAAGAACCCAGGGTTTCATAAAGCCGCCTGTCGGCAAACTCCGGCCCGGCCCGCGGCCCACTGGCCCAGTGATGTGTCGCTGTCATCTCCAGAACAGAATCTATGGGAATGGAAATGGCAGGAAAAATAACAGGTCCCAAAGCGTGCCGGATTCCAGTGTGAGCAGCCTTGCTGAGGTTCTGGGAGAGCGTTCAGTAGCATATTCTGAAGGACAGAAAGGTGGTCAAGTACGAAACTCATCCTCAGAGAGGGGCAGGTGGGCACCGGAAACCACCAGCCTGTTCTTACCAGCCAGTCCGAAGGCTGGCAGCAGCAGGCCATGTCCTTGCCCTCCTGGAGCTTTCATGTGCACTGTGACCGCTCCCTGCAGAGCCACCTGTGCGGGCCCTTGGCCGCCCGTTGTCTAGGAGCTCGGGCTCAAGCTTCTGCGCTCCCCAGGGTCATAGCAGCCCCGTTTTTGTCCTCATTGTTGGTGCCTTCATTTTGCTGGATCTGGGGGTGGCTTTGAATTTGCTGGATGGGGCTAGTGCCCACCTCTCTGATGTTTGTTTTAAAGTGAGACCATCCCTTTTAGGGCATCTCTCGGGCCTGCAGACATGTCCAGGAAAGGGAGGTGGGTGCTCTGCCCCCTGGTGTCTGCAGGCAGCTCGACTCCCCACGTGGAGCAGGCCCGCTCTCCCCGGCTCACGTGGCCCACGAGAAACTTCCACAGCTGGAAGTCACGCTCACGGGAAGTCGGGCTATGATGCACTGGGACTGGCAGCCTGCGCCCCGCCTCCCGTCCCGGAGGCCTTGGTGTGAGTCCGTCGACTCCCATTGTGAGCCGCTGTTAGAGGCCATCACAGCTGCTGGCAGCACCGGTTGCTGCCAGAAAGCAAGGGTGGGGCTCAAAAAGAGGGAAGAATGAATGAGGAGAAAAACACATCTTGATGTTCTCAAAACAAGAGGGAAGCAGGGGTACCTGCCTCAGAGGGAGTCGCTGCATCTGTAAAGGGGCCGCGCTGAGCTGTGTGGGAGAAACCCAAGCGCAGCTCTGAACCCCTCGACCTCACGGAGGACGAAAGAGGGCACCCGAACCACGAGTGACCCCTCCACTGACCCCAGCACTCGCTGACGTGGTGGACGGTTGCGCCCACACGCACAGGCCTGGCAGGAACCCGGACCTCCAGGCTCTGCCGCTCCAGTGCACAGGCCCCGAGGGTGCGGTCGCCATGGAAACCGCACACGCTTGTCCAGGTGTCTCCCTCATTATTTCTCTCCGGAAGTGCTGCCCAACGTGGCAGAAGCAGAGAAAGGCTGGAGGGGAAATGCCCGCCGGCAAGGCCACGGTGTCCGAGTTCTGCCACGTGGAGAGTCTGTCGACACGGAGTTTGAGGCGGAAGCGTCCCGTGTCCCACGGAGGAGTCCACGGTGGTGCTTCGCCCCGGCCTTCGTGTCTGGCCGTGGATTTCCCCATGGGCTCACATCTGCATCTCTGAGGCCTCTCTTCACCCGCTGTGCCCTGGGCACCGGGGGCCCTCGTCGCTGGCACAGGGGGCTGTTTGTTTTTGTTACGTTTTTTTCTGCTATTTTCTGTGGGGTTTTTCTGGAGAACTTACTCTTCAGATGTTGAACTTTCTGGATTGATCTTCCATTTCCTTTTCTTCCTTTCTTTCCTTCCCACCTGTACCGTGTTTTTCTTCTTTCTCGGAGGCGTCTTGACGGTCCGACCTCTAGTGACCTTTTCCCTCTGGCTCGCATAGTGTTAATATTCGTTAGGTTCGCCTGCCCTTCGGTGCGGCCTCCTCTTATCTCCTGGCTGCTGTTAGACCGAGTCATGTGAAATCGCCGACACCGACCCGGTTTTCAGACACAGAAGTGGAAGTTCCGGATGGTTCCGCCTCGTTGTCCGTTAGCTCTGAGGGGATTACACTCCTGGAGTTTTCTTCTCCCCAGTCTGGGCCTTTCCTGCTTATTTGCTTTCGCTGAGGTTCCTCAGGTACCGGCGGATCCTGGCCGGCCCTTCATGCTCGTTCTTCAGGATGAGCCGCTGAGCATCTATTAGAAACCCTGCTGCAGGGGAGGCGTGTCGCTGCTGGTGCTCAGGGTCGTGGGTCCGCCTGGAATCTGGAGGAGATGCCCCCAGTGCCCAGGGGGAGGAGGGGGCATTGGCTACCAGCATTCTGCTGTGTGTGGGAGGGCAGGCGGCGGCTTGGCAACGCTGGTGGCCTCCCCCGCATTCCCCTGTGCTTGGCTGCTGACTCATCCTTGCCCTACACTGGCCTTGGTGTCCCGGAGCCCAGAGCCTCTGGTGCAGATTCTCCAAAGGTTAAGCTGTGCTCGCCTGCAGGAGGGCGGGTATTGGGGGAGGGGGGTGTTCACTGGAGTATTGATGTTGGGGAGGAGAAACCTGGGATGGGGGGTGGAGGGACATAGGGAACAGTGCTTTAGACAAGACCACAGCCAACTCCCCTCTCCTCCCCCGCCACCTCCCCCTCCCACCCTCTGCTCCTC